ACGGTACAACAGTAAAACTTCGTTTAAATCGTTGGGGGTGGGTCAACAAGTTTGGAAAAGAAATTTACGAGCAAAAACATTTGCAGATCGGTGGACGGCACCCTATGTCGTGGTAAAGCCCACGTCGGTAACCAAAACATCTTATGTAGTGAGAAGGAATAATGGAACTAAAGAAGAAATTGTCCATTACAATTACCTTAAACCTTATCAGATTCAACATGTCAAGAAACCAAAGTCAAGGAATCCACCAAAGAAGAATGGGGTCGGACACCCAGCACTGGGTACCAGTGAGGACAGTGAATCTGACAGCAGAGAAGAGGAAATGCAGCCAGAGAGAAGATATCCAGAAAGAATTCGAAGATCTCCAGAAAAATACACATAATACTTTTAAAGGGGGGAGTGGTGTGATATATTGACATTTATAGTTACATTGAAATAGATACTCGTAAATAGCTAGCCTGTTTGCAGGCTATTAGGCATGGACCTTCGGGCTTAATTATTAACTTGAAGACTAGGACTATTATTGTACATGTGTTCGGAGTAATACAATATATAAATTTACAGCACCACATGTAAAATTGTACTGATAAACACAAAATAAACAAATCATTACAAATGGAGATTTAAAGATTGTATTAAACAAGAAACTATTTCGATAAATAGGTATGTACAAAGCGAAATAAATATTTATTGAACAAGAACTTTTATTACCTATTGGGGGTTAATGTAAATTTTAAAAGTCATTTTAACTCATAATAGGCAGCCCAGAAAAATGTGTATTCACTTAAAAATGCATGAATTAAATGCTTACAAAATACGTAAAAGTTTGTCTCAATTTGCTATTCAAATTGGCCAAACACGCCGCGGAAGCTCATTAACTAATGGAATGTGCGTAAATAACGTTGTTTTGTGAATAAAGGGTGTCTGTAAAAGCCGGAACCCCACCCGGAACACCCGGAACCCCACCCGGAACCCTACCCGGAACACCCGGAACCCCTCCCAGAACACCCGGAACCCTACCCGGAACACCCGGAACCCCATCCGGAACACCCGGAACCCCATGCGGAACACCCAGAACCCCACCCAGAACACCCGGAACCCCACCCGGAACACGCTGGAATACGAGCTATTAAGCAACGCACATGTTTCTCTATAAATTCACGTGTTTCGCATTAAATTCGGGGTGATAGATGGTTGCGATCTTTACTTTTTACTTGTATTGTTGTTTTTTTAAATGATTTTTCTGATGGGCAAGGATAAATATATAATGTCGGGCGGTACATAATATCAAGCACGAGTTTTGCTTGTTTGTAAACGTGCAAACGAAGTTTCGCTCGAGGCTTTTGCCGCATGTACTATATTTTTCGTTTTCAATATTCTGCCGTACTATGTACCTGTGACTCTATTCTATATTTAGTTGAACAGTAACCAATATTTAACTTTGCTATCTTTTTTATTATTTGAATAATATGTTTGCATGCATATGGTTATTTGACTTGCAATTGTATGAAACGGCGCCATGTAAGAATTTAGAGGAATTATAAAGTTCATCCGTATTTATTACAATACGAATTCTCGTGGATTTGGGAAATTTTTCATGGATTTCTTTACTAGACTTACTCGCTTTTTGGAACTTTGAAAGACGTTTTAGTAATTTAGAGGCTGTTTTGTATATGACAATGACTGCATGCAGCCTATACAGTGAAAGTGCACGCGCGAGATCTCAGAATAACAGTATTATTAAGTAGCTAATAAATTATAGGTATTGCTAGAAATTCCCAAAACATTCATTTGTCATTGAAAACGTTGACAACCAAATCAAGAAGCTGGTGTCGTATATATATAAAGCACTAGGCAAAACGTTCATGTTATAACTTCAACAGTAACACAGTCCTTAATTTAATATATTAAATACAATATTTATTTATATTACTGCCATTGATCGAAGGAACATGGACGTTTTCGGCTCGTGCTCTATATTTATATGACATCATCCTGCTTGTTGGTTGTTAACGTTTTCAATGACAAATGAATGTTTTGGGAATTTCTAGCAATACATATAATATATTAGCTACTTTATTTAAACATATTTCTGATGAGAATGAGTTTACCCTAAGAACGTACACACTCATCAAGGGGGCTTACTTAATAATATTGTTATTCTGAGATCTCGCGCGTGCACTTTTACTCTAGGCTGCAGTCATTGTCATATACAAAACAGCCTCCAAAATACTAAAACGTCTTTCAAAGTTCCAAAAAAGCGAGTAAGTCTAGTAAAGAAATCCATGAAAAATTTCCCAAATCCACGAGAATTCGTATTGTAATAAATACGGCTGAACTTTATAATTCCTCTAAATTCCTACATGGCGCCGTTTCATACAATTGCAAGTCAAAGTAACCATATGCAAACATATATTATTCAAATAATAAAAAAGATAGCAAAGTTAAATATTGGTTATTGTCCAACTAAATTTAGAATAGAGTCACAGGTACATAGTACGGCAGAATATTGAAAACGAAAAATATAGATACGGCAATAAATACATGCGGCAAACGCCTCGAGCGAAACTTCGTTTGCACGTTTACAAACAAGCAAAACTAATGCATTTGATATTATATACCGCCCGACATAATATATTTATCCTTGCCCATGAGAAAAATTATTTAAAAAAACAACAATACAAGTAAAAAGTAAAGATCGTAACCATCCATCACCCCGAATTTAATGCGAAACACGTGAATTTATAGAGAAACACGTGCGTTGCTTCATAGCTCGTATTCCAGCGTGTTGCGGGTGGGGTTCCGGGTGTTCCGGGTAGGGCTCCGGGTGTTCCGGGAGGGGTTCCGGGTGTTCCGGGTGGGGTTTCGGGTGTTCCGGGTGGGTTCCGGGTGTTCCGGGTGGGGTTCCGGCTTTTACAGACACCATGAATAAATAATGATGTACAATGCATAAAACCCTAGTTTACAGGTTGTAACAATTGATCCAATCAGGGACGCCGGAACTGGGAGGGGGGCAGGGGGGGGCGGCTGCCCCCTTGCCTTTTGCTAGGGGGGGGGCAGGGGGGGCAGAAGTGCCCTTTTAGTTGAAAAATACTACGTGATAAATCACATTTACAACGATGCATTTTGTACGAATATTATGAGATTCAGACAATTTATAGGGGGGGGGAGGTCGCCGAAATAATTTTTCCGGAAAAAATTTTTCGGTACTAGTCGGGTACATTCCCGGAAAGTCGGGCAATTTTCTTTCCGCCCCCCTAATTTTTTCCTTCCGGTACGCCCATGATAGTGATTACCTTTCGTCTTTAATAAAATGGTTATTGCGTATTGTGTTTTCGTATGGTAAGGGACGGGAGCGAATTGCACTGCATGATTGCTTCATTCTGAGCTTCCGTAGTTTATTGCATTTGCTTGAGCGAAAGAGGACCACTGTGCTTGCCGTATGACCGAAGGGTCAATAGCCCGAAAGATCGCAAGGATCGCAATACATAATTGCTTGCCAATTAATTTGCTTGCCAAATTGCCAATTGCCAAATTGCCAAATTCCAAATTGCCAATTTGCAAATTGCCAATTGCCAAATTGCCAATTAATTGCTTGCCAAATTAATTGATCGCAATACATAATTGTATGACCGAAGGATCGCAATACATAATTGCTTGCTTGCAACCGAGCACAAATCATACTATGGATTTAGCAGTTGCCAATGGGTTTGGCGTATGAGAGAAGTTTCTCTCGAAATTGCATGATTGCTTGCGACCAAGCCCGAGTCGCTACTTAATTTGGATTTTAACCAACGTTGCCAATGTGTTTGGCGTGTAAGAGAAGTGCATCTCGCAAGTGCATAATTTCTTGAGACCGAGCATGGGTATATCGCAACTGATTTTGGATTTTAAACAAAGTTGTCAATGTGTTTGGCGTGTGAGAGGGGTGCATATCGCAATTTTCAAAAATTTCATTTTTTTTTCCAACCTCGGAATTTTCAAAATATTTTCATTTTGTTTTCCAACCTCGGAATTTTCAAAAAATTTTCATTTTTTTTTCCAACCTCGGAATTTTCAAAATATTTTCATTTTGTTTTCCAACCTCGGAATTTTCAAAAAATTTTCATTTTTTTTCAACCTCGGAATTTTCAAAAAATTTCCATTTTTTTTTTAACCTCGGAATTATGAATTTTTTCTGTATTGGTGTAGTGTATGATATTTGTGGTGTTACTCTGAGTGTATATCCACACCGGGCGAGCTTGAAAAATATGCCGGGCCACGGTGGGATTCGAACCTACGACCTTCGGAATACTAGCCCAATGCTCTTCCAACTGAGCTACGCGGTCAGGACGGTTCGAGTAAGTGATATTTCGGAACAGAATCTAGTTTCTTCGATACCAATGTATTCTAGTAATATGAATTTTTTCTGTGTTGGTGTAGTGTACTCAGGTGAATATGATGTTATTAGTATACAAAGTGGGGGTTCTGCGTCGGGTGGTGCACCAAGCAACACCCATGACGTAATCAGGATATCATATCGTATCAATTACACGCGCTTGTAATGTATTTAAAGACTGTGGACCAATGATTACTAGCATTTTAAGAAAATTATTACAGTTTAATACTTTGCTAATATTTATCCCGACATATATTCCTTCTAACAAACTGAGTGGATTTTAACATATTCTCGAAATATATTCTACTAAAGTTGTTGTAATGCTTGTGGGACGTATATATTGTACTTATACGCATGCGCAATCAGAATTGTACATTACGAAAATCCCATGACTTATAGGAGTTTGCAACGATTCTGGGGGAAATTCTGCGGAGAATATCGCAGTTTATCCAAAATTCTCCAAAATCATAAACGACAGTAGAAATAGAGCATAAAAGGTGTATTTGAATTCATAGTATTACAAGGTTTTATTAGATTATCTTACAGTGTCCAATGCCTTAACACCATCCTTGGTTTTCACTGGGGATGTATTCACCATGTTTAGGACTATTAAACAAGGAATAATAACAATCCAGACATACATATGAAACTTTTTAAACAGAACTAAGCAGTTGCTAAGCCCAAGTTAAAATCGTTGTCAACGCCGTTGTTATGGTCGATATTTGCATATTACAGAGTCATTAAAAAGTGATTAACCGGTCCACCTCGTGTGGATATATACAATGTTTTTATTTCACCCAGCCGAGCTTGAGACAGAAAAAAATACTAACAAACAGAGAGTTATTAATGATTATATGCAAGATGTATCGAAATTTTGTCGATTGTGGGCCTTTGTGGCTCTCTAAAACGTATACCGCCAAAGTCATTAACAGTTATTAAAGGATTATAAGCAAAATTTTAATCTCTTAAGTGCTTATTATGGATAGATAGGGATTATTTATTACCCTAAAATCGGGCGCGTGGCTTTGCAGGCAAATGCTCGCACAATGTTTCACTTTTAAAGTAAATATATATTACTTCAAAATGTTTTACAAAGTTATGCTTCTAATGCTGTTACAAAGTTATGCTTTTACAAAGTTATGCCACTTGTTTGAGACGTTTCACTATCCGACTCGTCATCGTGGCTGCTTTCATCATTGTGGCTGCTTTCATCACCCGAGATGTTGGCCAACTCTCTCGGAGCCGATTGGCTCAGAGCCGTGCACCAATAGGCTCGGAGCCGAGATAGAATGGCTCGGGGCCGAGCTCCATAGCCTCGGAACCATGCTCCTTAGGCTCCGAGCCGAGCTCGATAGGCTCCGAGCCGAGCTCCATACGCTCCGAGCCGAGCTTCCTAGTCTCGGAGCCGAGCTCCCCAGACTCGAAACCACCTCCATAGGCTCGGAGCGAAGCTCTCTAGGCTCGGAGCCAGCTTCTTAGGCTCGGAGCCGAGCTCCCTAGGCTCGCATCCAGCTCCATAGGCTCCGAGCCGAGTTCCAAAGGCTCCAAGCGGAGCTTCCTAGGCTCGGAGCCAGCTCCTTAGCTCGAATGGCTCGGAGCCAAGCTCGATAAGCTCGGAGGGCTACCGAGCTTCATAACCTCTGGGATTCAATGATTCAATCTATGATTCAATGACCAATCTTATGATTCAATGCTTCAATTTATGATTCAATGATTCAATGATTCAATCTTTAACGATTCAATGATTCACTCTTAGGATTCAATTATTCAATCTTATCATTCAATGATTCACTCTTATCATTCAATTATTCAATCTTAGAATCCAATAAATCACTCTTATGATTCAATGATTCAATCTTCAACAGAAGCTTCACAGAAGCTTCACAGAAGCTTTACAGAAGCTTTACTGAAGCTTGACAGAAGCTTTACAGAAGCTTCACAGAAGCTTCACAGAAACTTCTGTCAAGCTTCTGTGAAGCTTCTGTAAAGCTTCTGTCAAGCTTCTGTCAAGCTTCTGTCAAGCTTCTGTAAAGCTTCTGTGAAGCTTCTGTGAAGCTTCTGTTGAAGATTGAATCATTGAATCATAAGAGTGATTCATTGGATCCTAAGATTGAATCATTGAATGATAAGAGTGAATCATTGAATGATAAGATTGAATAATTGAATCCTAAGAGTGAATCATTGAATCGTTAAAGATTGAATCATTGAATCATTGAATCCTAAGAGTGAATCATTGAATCGTTAAAGATTGAATCATTGAATCATTGAATCATAAATTGAAGCATTGAATCATAAGATTGGATCATTGAATCATAGATTGAATCATTGAATCCCAGAGGTTATGGAGCTCGGTAGCCCTCCGAGCTTATCGAGCTTGGCTCCAAGCCATTCGAGCTAAGGAGCTGGCTCGGAGCCTAGGAAGCTCCGCTTGGAGCCTTTAGAGCTCGGCTCGGAGCCTATGGAGCTGGCTCCGAGCCTAGAGAGCTCGGCTCCGAGCCTAGGAAGCTGGTTCCGAGCCTAAGGAACTGGCTCCGAGCCTAGAGAGCTTCGCTCTGAGCCTATGGAGGTGGTTTCGAGTCTGGAGAGCTGAGCTCCGAGTCTGGGGAGCTCGGCTCCGAGACTAGGAAGCTCGGCTCGGAGCGTATGGAGCTCGGCTCGGAGCCTATCGAGCTCGGCTCGGAGCCTAAGGAGCATGGTTCCGAGGCTATGGAGCTCGGCCCCGAGCCATTCTATCTCGGCTCCGAGCCTATTGGTGCACGGCTCTGAGCCAATCGGCTCCGAGAGAGTTGGCCAACATCTCGGGTGATGAAAGCAGCCACAATGATGAAAGCAGCCACGATGACGAGTCGGATAGTGAAACGTCTCAAACAAGTGGCATAACTTTGTAAAAGCATAACTTTGTAACAGCATTAGAAGCATAACTTTGTAAAACATTTTGAAGTAATATATATTTACTTTAAAAGTGAAACATTGTGCGAACATTTGCCTGCAAAGCCACGCGCCCGATTTTAAGGTAATAAATAATCCCTATCTATCCATAATAAGCACTTAAGAGATTAAAATTTTGCTTATAATCCTTTAATAACTGTTAATGACTTTGGCGGTATACGTTTTAGAGAGCCACAAAGGCCCACAATCGACAAAATTTCGATACATCTTGCATATAATCACCAATAACTCTCTGTTTGTTAGTATTTTTTTCTGTCTCAAGCTCCGCTGGGTGAAATAAAAACATTGTATATATCCACACGAGGTGGACCGGTTAATCACTTTTTAATGACTCTGTAATATGCAAATATCGACCATAACAACGGCGTTGACAACGATTTTAACTTGGGCTCAGCAACTGCTTAGTTCTGTTTAAAAATGTTCATATGTATCTCTGGATTGTTATTATTCCTTGTTTAATAGTCCTAAACATGGTGAATACATCCCCAGTGAAAACCAAGGATGGTGTTAAGGCAGTGGACACTCTAAGATAATCTAATAAAACCTTGTAATACGATGAATTCAAATACACTTTTTTATGCTCTATTTCTACTGTCGTTTATGATTTTGGAGAACTTTGGATAAACTGCGATATTCTCCGCAGAATTTTCCCCAGAATCTTTGCAAACTCCTATAAGTTTGGGATTTTCGTAATGCACAATTCTGATTGCGCATGCGTATAAGTACAATATATACGTCCCACAAGCATTACAACAACTTTAGTAGAATATATTTCGAGAATATGTTGAAATCCACTCAGTTTGTTAGAAGGAATATATGTCGGGATAAATATTAGCAAAGTATTAAACTCTAATAATTTTATGATATTTGTGGTGTTACTCTGAGTGTATATCCACACCGGGCGAGCTTGAAAAATATGCCCGGCCACGGTGGGATTCGAACCTACGACCTTTGGAATACTAGCCCAATGCTCTTCCAACTGAGCTACGCGGTCAGGACGGTTCGAGTAAGTGGTATTTCTATAGTGGTATTTATATGATATCTACAAATATCATATTCACCTGAGTACACTACACCAACACAGATCTAATAATTTTCTTAAAATGCTAGCAATCATTGGTCCACAGTCTTTAAATACATTACAAGCGCGTGTAATTGATACGATATGATATCCTGATTACGTCATGGGTGTTGCTTGGTGCACCACCCGCACCACCCGACGCAGAACCCCCACTTTGTATACTACTGATATTTGTGGTGTTACTCTGAGTGTATACCCACACCGGGCGAGCTTGAAAAATATGCCCGGCCAAGGTGGGATTCGAACGAACGACCTTTGGAATACTAGCCCAATGCTCTTCCAACTGAGCTACGCGGTCAGGACGGTTCGAGTAACTGATATTTCGGAACAGAATCTAGTTCCTTCGATACCAATGTATTCTAGTAATATGAATTTTTTCTGTGTTGGTGTAGTGTACTCAGGTGAATATGATATATCCCACCGTGGCCGGGCATATTTTTCAAGCTCGCCCGGTGTGGATATACACTCAGAGTAACACCACAAATATCATATTCACCTGAGTACACTAC